TACCGAACTTGCACACGAAAATCACCCACTACGAAAAACAAAAGACTTGGCAGACGATGCACCATCCCCCAATGAAAAGCAGGGTGTCACTAGCACGTTAAGAGACCATAACAATAAGTGTCAGGGGCCCGAGACTGTTCAACTGCCTCCCAGCACACATAAGGGGGATTACCAACAGACCCCTGGCAGTCTTCAAGCTGGCACTGGACAAGCACCTAAAGTCAGTTCCGGATCAGCCGGGCTGTGGCTCGTATGTTGGTTTGCGTGCAGCCAGCAGCAACAGCCTGGTTGATCAGGCTCTGATCCACCAGGAGGCCTGGTCTCAGACCGGGCCGCGGGGGCGTTGACCCCCGGAACTCTCTCCAGGTAAACTCCAGGAAGGTGAGGTGCCTGTCAATGTAGATGCCAAGGTACCTATAACTGTGAACCCACTCCAGGTCGATGCCCAGGACCCGCAGCCTCTGACTGGGCACCTTGGTGCGAAGGATCATGGCTTTGGATTTCGCCGCAGATATCTTGAGCCCCAAGTGACGGCAGGTGGAAGCCAGCAGATCGAGGTCCTCCTGGGCACGCTGCAAAAGCCGGCGCTTCCTAGGTACGACAAGTGCCAGGTCATCGGCATAGCTGAGGAGGATGGTGCCTCTGGAGAAAGGCAGGCACACCAGCTGGTGCATCAGTACATTGAACAGGGTGGGACTAAGCACCCCGCCCTGTGGAGTGCCGTTGTCCAGGGTCTTGAGAGAAGAGGCATGTCCCTGGAAGCGTACCCGGGCCCGCCTGTCCTGGAGATAGGAACGAAGCCATGAAAGCAGCCTGCCTTTAATCCCCCTGCGGGCCAAGAGTGAGAGGATGGCAGGTGCACTGGCTAGCTCAAAAGCTTTCTCGAGGTCAAGAAAAACAACAATGTGGGCTTGGGCGTCCGACCCAATGCCGGTCAGTAGAGTGGTAAGGCTTTCGAAAGTGCCCACTCCTCTGGTGAAGCCATAAAGGCATTTATGAGGAGGGCCAAGCTTCCACCTCAGGCGCTCCAACACCATCCTTTCAGACACCTTCGAGATGCAACTGGTGAGGGAGATGGGTCTCACACTGCCAGGATCCCCAGGCTTAGGAATCGGTATGATGTCAGCCTCCTTCCATACGACAGGGAGTTTGCCAGCTCGCCAAGTCTGGTTGATGACCCCCAGGACAGCTGAATGTCCAGAATGGCCAGACCGAGTGATCATGCCATAGGTGATGCCATCATGCCCCGGTGCAGTGTCTCGATGAGATGTGAAGGCTGCCTGGAGCTCCTGGTTGGTGAAGTCTTCATCCGTGACGTCCTTAGCCTGGCATGCCGCTTGGATCACCATCACCCTTCTAAGAAGGAGGGTGGCTTGGAGGTCCTGGAGATCCTGAGGCAGTTGAGCCATGGCCGCTCTGGAGATGAATAGGTCCACCAGACGCTCTGCCTCCGTTGCGGGGTCTGGGTGCAACCGAGCCACACTGCGACGCTGCCCAGTGGCCAATCGTAACTTGGTCCAAATCTCAGATAAGGTGGAGGAGTAGCTGAAGGAGGCACACCACTCGAACCATTTAGCCTGCCGGACCCTGTGTGAGACATGGCGTGCATGCCGCACCACTTCCCTGAGCAGACGCATGGACTCAACCGTGGGATTACGCCTGTGCATCTTGTGTACGACATTGATGCGGTGGTTCTGTTCCCTGATGTCCTCATTGTAAAGCCACCAGTCACGTTTATATGACCCTCCGCCTGTAATCTTAGGTATTGCTGCCTCAGCTGCACATGTGAAGGCCACCTGCAAGCTTTGAGCCGCCTCATCTGGGTCTTCTGGAAGAGGAGACTCCACCCACCAGCGCTCAATGACCTCCTGGAAGCACTGCCAGTCGGCCTTTTTTAGATTCCATCTGGGGGTAGGTGTGGGGAGCGGGCACCGCTGGACCATCAGCGTAGTGACCACTGCAAAGTGATCACTGGTGAGACGGGGGTGGACCTCCCATCTCGCACTGGAGAGCAACCGCCTAGAGATGAGTGTGACATCCAAGCGGCCACCATAGTGATGGGTTGGCTCACCTTTATTGAGGAGAGCGATCTCAGGGACCTCCTCCAGCACAGCCGCAAGGTGCCTCCCAGCTGCATTGGTAGGAGAGACAGAAGAAAATATTGGGTGGTGGGCATTGACATCCCCAGCCACAACAAGACCCTCCCGTGGGGCGAGTGCTGCCACCTCTGAAATGTCAAGGGTGTACCGAGAGCTTCTGTAAATATTGTAAACCACGAGAGGTCCATCCAGTAGGTGTAGGGTGACAGCCTGAACCTCTTCGCCCTCCCCACAGTCGATGGGGTCAGTGGAGATATGACAAAAGACAGTGACAACATTACTTCGTAGGCGACTGAGCAAAACCCGCACGTAATACATAAATCTGAACATCATTGGTGAAATCAGCATATCGAAATTGATGTAGGCCTGTGATATGGGTCTCATTCTGGGGCAGTACCTCCGAAGGACCTCATTGGAAATAAGCCACTTTAACTGGCTTTCTTGGGTTATCCTAGCTTGCTAACCCTAAGTGGATATGCTGAATGTTGAAGACAGAGTAAAACAACTGAAGCTAAATCATGTTTATAAAATTGCTCACAAACAGTGTCCAGAATATCTTGCTGTCAATTTTGTCAAGGTTGGGAACCAAAGCAATCATAGTACAAGGGGGAGAGAGCACAACTTTGTAGTACCCACAGTCATTGGCCAGGCTTCAAACACCTTTTATTGTACGGCAATAAAGGAATGGAACAGACTGCCCGCACATGTCAAAGCCAGTCATAGCATGAACCAGTTCAAGAAGAGTGCCAAAAGGTGTCTGATGAATGTAGCTACAGAAAGGGAGGGGAATGATTTTCTATTTTTTAGCTAACATATGTGTAAATTTTACCTTATTCCTAGTAATAACCCTCGTATGGTAGATAGTCTTAATGACCCTCGTGTAGTAGATAGTCTTTTTAGTATGATAATAAGATGTTATCTTCATTGTAGATTAATAAGAAAATATTATAACCTTTATATTATAATAAGGTAAAAGGACCCCAATGGAAATAAGTCACTCTGTCTGACTTTTTTGGGTTATCCTAGGTTCTCTACACTTATGCTGCTATGTGTGATAATTCTATGTAACTGTATTTGTGTATACCTGAATAAACTTACTTACTTACTTACTTACTTACTTAAGTGGTTTTTAATCCGTATGAAGTTTTCTATAACTTGGATATAGTTTAAGTTTCCCTAGTAGTACATTTTCTGACACGAGATGAATCAAAAGAAAACGTACAGAAGCATCAGTAACTCCACGAAAATTAAGTTGAATGATGCACTACTCCACAATACTATACATATTATTTTTTTCCAAATTATATGCTACGATTGAACAAAAGCCAAAATGAAATGCGCTTTATAAACTAATACTATTTAAGGGCAACTATCTCCAAGTTCATTTCTCACAAAGAAGGTACAATAATTGCTTCATGTCAAATCTATGCAAATTATCTTCATCAATTACTACATAGAACAACACAAGGATGTTTACAGGATATATACACCGAGAGGCATATGTCTCTCGGTATATATATGCTGAAACTTTACTTTAATCCCTATTTTAGATATTAAAGTATTTTTATCTGGTGTTGAAAAAGGGTTACCTGAAACTTAATGATTATATTATATATATATATATATATATATATATATATATATATATATATATATTATATATATAATATATATTATTATAATATATATATATATATATATATATATAATATATATATATATATATATATATATATAATATATATATATATATATATATATATAATTATATATATATATATATATATATATATAGTATATATATATATATATAAATATATATATATATATATATATATATATATTATATATATATATATATATATATATATATATATATATATATATATTATATATATATATATATATATATATATATATATATATATATATATATATATATATATATATGTCCTGTTTAAGGGCAATGTGTGGTGTAAATATTATGCAGAAATTTCGGAGTGTGGAAATTAGGAGAAGGTGTGGAGTTAATAAAAGTATTAGTCAGAGGGCAGAAGAGGGTTGTTGAGGTGGTTTGGTCATTAGAGAGAATGGATCAAAGTTAGAATGACATGGAAAGCATATAAATCTATAGGGGAAGGAAGGCGGGGTAGGGGTCGTCCTCGAAAGGGTTGGAGAGAGGGGGTTTAAAGGAGGTTTTGTGGGTAAGGGGCTTGGACTTCCAGCAAGCGTGCGTGAGCGTGTTAGATAGGAGTGAATGGAGACGAATGGTACTTGGGACCTGACGATTGTTGGAGTGTGGCAGGGTAATATTTTAGTGAAGGGATTCAGGGAAACCGGTTATTTTCATATAGTCGGACTTGAGTCCTGGAAATGGGAAGTACAATGCTGCACTTTAAAGGAGGGGTTTGGGATATTGGCAGTTTGAGGGATATGTTTGTGTATCTTTATATGTGTATGCTTCTAGACTGTTGTATTCTGAGCACCTCTGCAAAAACAGTGATAAGTGCGAGTGTGGTGAAAGTGTTGAATGATGATGAAAGTATTTTCTTTATGGGATTTCTTTCTTTTTTGGGTCACCCTGCCTCGGTGGGAGACGGCCGACTTGTTGAAAAAAAAAAAAAAAAATATATATATATATATATATATATATATATATATATATATATATATATATATATATATATATATATATATTATATATATATATATATATCATATTTATATATATATATATATATATATATATATATATATATATATATATATATATATTATTTATTTATTTATTTATTATATTGTTGTGTACAGATTAAATTGCTACCAAATGATCCTCATTTAGTCCATAGTTTTTAAACTTAGTAAGCAACTAGCAATTATAATGCATGTGTCTCATTGCAGAGTTGACCCTAAGGATGAGGCGGCAGCGACGGAGGAGGTTAAGGCAGCTCTACTGAAGATGGAGGACACTGGAGAGGGAGGAGAACTAGGACAAGAAACTGTAGGAGTAAGTGGGGAAGTGAACCAAGAACCTCCAGTCAAGGAAGGAGTTATGGATTTGCCTACCATCATCCTAACAGTAGACGACTCCAGCAGCGGTACACTGGAATACCCAGCCCCGCCTCCTAGCCCTGGCCTCCTCTGCGCCACCGATGACATTGAATTTATCGATTCCGATGTTGAAGAGACTGAAGACTGCGTTGTCGAAGCTGTTCTCCCCGACGTCGACTACAGTGACCAGTGGTTCGACGCCCGTGGAACACTCACTCGTTCCAAGGAGGATATTGCTCGTATTATCGACGACAACGACGAGTACCGCATTAGTAAATACTACGACGTTTCTGATGACACTGCGGCGCCACAAGTCAACGGTACGGAGTCTGCCGAGGTATATGAAGACGGCAAAGAAAGGAAGGGGTCACTTAAGGCTCGTGAGTGGGTAAAGAGCTTCAGTGGGGACGCTGAGTCACGTGTACAACGCTGGATGAAGATGAAAAATACTAAAGATACCTCGAGTCTTCCAAAGAGCAAATCCGAAATTCGTCTTGATGGAATAGAAGAACCAAAAGAAAAGTGGTCAGGCAGAGACGAGATTCAGCTTAACGCCACAGGTGAAGACGAAGCCTACGCAACTTTTCTTCGTAAAGAATACAACGCAAATGTGAAATTGAAAGAGAACGAGCGACAACAATCTTCGGAAAAGGGGCAGGTGGCTCGTAAAGAAAATCTTAAGAAAATATTCAAAATAAAAGGAATGTTTTCCATTAAACCTATCGTAGACTCGCAGCAACCAACATACACAGACACGGATATTCACATAGCTTCAGCACCTTACGCCCTGGTAAATACTTCAGACAACAGACAGCCAGACAGCGACTCTCTTGATGTTTCTGAAGAAGGCATCCACTGTACCTCTATTGATCTTGATCCCGAAACAGAGGAGAATCTCGTCTCCCACAACATTCCTCAAGACAACATTAACACTGAAAAACTGTCACCAAACACTGAAGAGGAGCTATTACCAAACACAAAAGAAGAGAACAACAAAGAAATTAAAGTAACTCTAATATGTGAACCAACAAGTATCCCAAATATTGTCATAGATTCTCCAGGGGTAACAGAAAGAGACGTGCTATTTCCTAAACATCAGCTCAGAAAGGAGTCAGAACATGTCCCTGTTATACAGTCAGATGTCTCAACAAAGCAGGTCACGACAGGGGCTGATGACAATTCTATACTTAATGATGTAACCTGGGCTGCAAGCGAGGACAGTTCCAGAAAAGCAGAAACATGTTACCAAGAACAAGAGCAAAAGAAAGCGAAAACAGTAAAAGATTCAGACGCAGAAGAGCCAGTTGAAGGTACTGATCCACAAGCAATTAGGGATGAATCTAACACCAAGATACCTGAAGCAAACAAAACATTAAACACCACTTCATTGCCTATGTTAGAAGAAAAGAGAAAGACAACTGAAGCTTTTGCTGAGCTATCGAGTACCGAGAAAGACTCATTGTTGGGTTCAGCAAAATCTGAATCCACCGAATCCACAAAAAGAAAGATTTCCGGAGCTACCATCCCTAAATCCATAAAAAATTTTGCTGGTTCCTTGTTTACCCAGCAAGGAAGTGGAAAAGCAAAGAACGACACTGGAGAAGAGAAAGAAAAGAAGAAAAAGAAAAAGAAAGAACGGATAAGTCCATTTAACAAAGATTACCTTCTCAAAGGCACTATTAAAGCCAATCCAGAAGAGGTAAAGAAGGATAAAAAATCACAAGTGAACACAGATGAAATTGTAGGAAGTAAAATCGAGCAGCACTCTACTCCAAAGAATACCAATCCATTCATGGACGACGACGGGAATCCATTTGCGGATGAAGACACAGAAGAACCAGAGACTAGACACAGAGACGACGAGCCTAGTGTTACCATAACAGAAGCTTTGCCCGATCTTCAACCCTCAACTGAGACAACTGGTATTATAACACCTAAACGGGAGTCCCCAGACAGCCTCGAGTATATATCCGTCATTGAGTCTGATGATCCAAAAAATATTTCTCACGAATCATCGCCAGGTTACGGAACCTCGTTCGTGGAAGAGGAAGGCCTAAGGCTACGACAAGATGCACTGCTTGCAATCAAGTCGATGAACAACGACGATGCGTCTACACATTATTACAGTTTCCTCAGCGCTACTGATGACTATCACACCCCTACGAGAGAAATAGAACAGAGAGAACAAACTCCTGTACAAACAATATTTTATAAAGAATCTTCTCCTGCTGATGATTCTCGGGAAGAAAATACTCAGGAACCAATACATGACGCAAAAGCAACAGAATTAACTCCCGCTGAGTCTCATCTAATTGAAAAAACAGTACCAGTCGAAGAGCATAAGCCAGACATAAAGCCAAGAGAATCTTTGAAGAAAAGGCTACGTGTTGAAAACAAAGACAGTGTTGAAAATAAAGATTTGAATTCATTTGCCGATGACAATGGTTCCCAACAAGAGACGTCTGTTATTCCTCTCTCAACGGTAAGTCGTAGCTCACTGGAAGCAGCGCAAAAAACGATGTCGCTAAGGCAGAATGATCCTGTTCCTACAGAAGTGCCAAATTCGCAGCCTAAGTTCCCTCTCTCTGAGAGCACACAAGAGCCTCCTAAGCCCAGCCCAAGGAACAAGAAGGGAAGGTACGGATACTCCACAGGCGGGACCACTCTCACAACTACTACTCCACCTGTTTCAACAACAAGCAATAATGAATGCTCAGCAACACATGGAACCCCAGAGATTTTAAGCAAAAATGAAATGAATGTTACAACAACCATTAACAACGCTCAAATATCCACCTTCCCTCGAAGCAGTGGGTCGTGTAAGAGAGTTCCTGTCGTTCAGCCAGTGAGAGATTCTTCAGATTCTGGGTACGTTGGCCCAGGGTGCACCTACTATCAGGGTACCAACTCAGAACCAATCTACTGGGAAATCAGTGAGACGAAGGGGGCGCCACCGAGGCCCAGCCCTCGAGCCAAGAAAGGCCAGCGAACGCCTAGCGATCATTCCTTGAATCATACTATGGCTCCCTCGCCGCCGTCCCTCAGCGTCACACCAAGGAACAGCCCAGTACCAGAGCCTCTTACAATACCTGAGTGGATAAACCACCGGGCACCTATTCCTAGTCCTCGAAGCAGGGAACACAGCGGTCGCTCAGACCTGCGACGTGGTTCCACGTGACACAATGGAGGCAGTAAAAAAAAACTTCAGATGCTGTCCTGAGCTCTCCAAGATTCCTGCCCTCCGCCCTATGCCACCGGAAGCAGTAGAGGAGAACTAATTTTACAGTGGTAAAGCTGCCTCGAATCTACGGTTCACACAGTCCCTGCGGTGCGCCCGCCATCGCCGCCATGGAGGCAGTAAAAAAATTCGTCTGCCAAGAGTCTCTTCCGGCAGCGATGGCGCGCTTGGCCACTGTGGAGGCAACAGAGCGAAGAACATTCCAGGGGAGCGCCTATATCAACTCGGTGAGCGAGCAAGTCCGCTGGACCCCCCAGCATCCCAGCACCCTCAGCAGGGCTGGCGTCAGGTAAGGTCTCTCCCGAGGGTCTTATATACTTACAATGATAAATGATAATATGAGTTATTAAATTCATAAGTCGTGGCCGAGAGTGCAAAGTGGCTCCCAGGTCAATCGTGTCGCTAGTTAGGAGACGATGGTAGGGAGTTCTATCCTTGCAGAGTTTTTATACATTACAAACATATATATAATTATATAATATAATAATTAATATTATATATTATATTATATATATATATATATATATATATTTTTATATATTTATATATATATATATATATATATATATATATATATATATATATATATATATATACATAATCAAATAACGTAGGAAAGCCTTCATGCGTGTCAAGTGAAAACCCACTGAACCTAGATTTTACCCAACATAGTTGCTACTTTAATTTTTCTTTCAAGTTTTCTTTAGTCTTGTACATCTTACACGCATTAGTTTGCTTATTCTACCTTGGGATGTCCTTGAAAATGGATTAATAAACAATGAGAGTTTATGAATATGTTGCATTTCGTTTTTGTTGTAGTTTGCTGGTCAAGATGCAGGACTGTGTCCAGATGCTACTCTTTGTCAAGTGAACTAAGTGTTACATTGTATATAAATATACGAGATCATTACATAGTACTTTCCTAAGATAATGCCATCGCGGATTTCTACGTTAGATATGTTTTGTTCTTTCTTAGTCGTCCCTGTGACGATGTGTGTATAAACACACGAAAGGGCTCGATTTCTTTTATTCTTTTCTTTTTTCTTTTTAATAGTAAGTTGTATTGAGCATTGAGTAGAAAATAACGATTATTGTCAAGTGGTTAACAAATGATTCTTCAGTCCGAATGTTGATATGATTACTGTAATAATGAACTGAGTGCAGCACAGCTCAGGCAGCTGTTACTATTGTCGTGGTTTTCCGCAGGATCACCGACTGCCCAACCTTCACGAGTCCTTGAACACAACGTCCTGAAGCTCCCCACATTAGTGCCGACATCACTCAGAAGGTTATTTATTCTGCGACTACGACCCGAGTCATGGATTTTTCCACCTAGCAAAGCAAGACCACTCGCCTAGATATGACACTGACGTATATTACAGAAATATAGCTTTGCAGAAACAAACAAACAAGAAGGAAGAAAATGCACTTAGGGAAATGTAAACCAAGCAGGATAGACACGACGTGATTGTCTCTACAACGTCATGCTGACTGAAGAAAAGTCAGGTGGAGAACAAGCTTTATCCGCTCCATGTAGAGCTTCATCAAGATAAGCCATAGTGGACACTTATTCTGCAACCTGTGTCTTTGCCTCGTTACAGCGTGCAGCAACGCTTGCATATCAGTGTCCTACACTCCTTCATCGTGATGGAAAGCACGGCAGCGCTATCACAGGTTGATTTGGATCAGTGTGGTGTGTATGCATACAAATGTTGGACCAGTTATTCCGTGTAACACAAGATGCCACAATGGAATAATGTATCCCCACCGTAGCTAAATTTGTATTATAATAATAGGAAAGAGCTAAATCCAAAGGGGTGATACAGAGCCAGCGGAATTAGAGACAATCAGGTTTGATCCGAGGAAGAAGGAAGTTCCAGGTCCTCGGATTATCGCGAGTGGGAAATAAATTGAGGTAATTAAAGACACCGAGTATCTCATTCATCCAACACACACACACACACACACACACACACACACACACACACACACACACACACACACACACACACACACACACACACACACACACACACACACACACACCAGAGACGGATTTGCGTGGAGCTGAAGACGGCTGGTAACCAGTGATGTTTCGTTACACTAGTAATGAATGCGCAGTGATTTTAGCGTAACAAAATTGTTACGATGTGACGTACGACTACGTATTATCAGGCGATTCGTTATACACTCCCCTCTGGCAAATGTAGTTTCCAGCGTAGTTAAACTTTAGAATCTAGCCACATCCTGGAGCGCCGTGTCGGTCGCCACTCTGACGATCTTGGTGTAACACACGACAGGCATACAACAAGTCGTTGAGAGAGCACTATCCCTCCATCTCCTCAATTAACCAACCTGTTCAGGTTACGACTTAGCTGGTCCCTTCCTGACCTCTCAGTTTTGCCCAACTCTCCGGCATCATCTCTCGTCATTATGTACCTACACCTACACTGCATGCCTTGTATATTTTTACAATTGTTAACTTACTCATCCCTCCACGTTACTGCTTCAATTACCCTAAACAAATAAGGCTTCTGTTAACACGCTCTGTGTAGTGTGTATTTCTTCCTGAAGATGTCTTACTACAGGTGAGCGTTAAACTGAATGGAGAGGTTCTTGTCTCAGCGCGCTCAGTGTGGGAAGAAGACCTTACGAAGTTTAAGGAAGACCCTACGAAGTTTAAAATAGGTTTTACGAGAACTTTGGATCTATGTTAAATTTCGTAGGATATCCCCCAAACTTCGTAAGGTCTTAAGAAGACTTTACGAAGTTTAAGGGATTCCTACGAAGTTTAAAGAAGATCCAAGTTTAAGGAAGATCCTTCTGAGTTGATCGAAGATCGTACTTCGTTTAGGGAGAGTTGTTGGTTTAGAAAGACACGCAAGCAAACACTATGACATATTTATTAGAAAACGTTTCGGTCCTGGGACCTTGAGAAGTGATCAAGGTCCCAGGACCGAAACGTTTTTTAATAAATATGTCATAGTGTTTGCTTACGTGTCTTTACAAACCAACTTGTCGGTATTTATTACCAAGGTTTATACCAGGGGGAGATGTACACTCCACACTGGTACAGTGGGATGTACACTCCACACTGGTACAGTGGGGTGTACACTCCACACTGGTACAGTGGGATGTACACTCCACACTGGTACAGTGGGATGTACACTCCACACTGGTACAGTGGGATGTACACTCCACACTGGTATAGTGGGATGTACACTCCACACTGGTACAGTGGGATGTACACTCCACACTGGTACAGTGGGATGTACACTCCACACTGGTACAGTGGGATGTACACTCCACACTGGTACAGTGGGATGTACACTCCACACTGGTACAGTGGGATGTACACTCCACACTGGTACGTGGGATGTACACTCCACACTGGTACAGTGGGATGTACTTTCCACACTGGTACAGTGGGATGTACACTCCACACTGGTACAGTGGGATGTACACTCCACACTGGTACAGTGGGATGTACTTTCCACACTGGTACAGTGGGATGTACACTCCACACTGGTACAGTGGGATGTACACTCACACAATCGGTACAGTGGGATGTACACTCCACAATGGTACAGTGGGATGTACACTCCATACTGGTACAGTGGGATGTACACTCCACACTGGTACAGTGGGATGTACACTCCACATTGGTACATTGGGATGTACACTCCACACTGGTACAGTGGGATGTACACTCCACACTGGTACAGTGGGATGTACACTCCACACTGGTACAGTGGAATGTACACTCCACAATGGTACAGTGGGATGTACACTCCACACTGGTACAGTGGGATGTACACTCCACAATGGTACAGTGGGATGTACACTCCACACTGGTACAGTGGGATGTACACTCCACACTGGTATAGTGGGATGTACACTCCACACTGGTACAGTGGGATGTACACTCCACACTGGTACAGTGGGATGTACACTCCACACTGGCATAGTGGGATGTACACTCCACACTGGTACAGTGGGATGTACACGCCACACTGGTACAGTGGGATGTACACTCCACACTGGTACAGTGGGATGTACACTCCACACTGGTATAGTGGGATGTACACTCCACACTGGTACAGTGGGATGTACACTCCACACTGGTACAGTGGGATGTACACTCCACACTGGTACAGTGGGATGTACACTCCACACTGGTACAGTGGGATGTACACTTCACACTGGTACAGTGGAATGTACACTCCACAATGGTACAGTGGGATGTACACTCCACACTGGTACAGTGGGATGTACACTCCACAATGGTACAGTGGGATGTACACTCCACAATGGTACAGTGGGGTGTACACTCCACACTGGTACTGTGGAATGTACACTCCACAATGGTACAGTGGGATGTACACTCCACAATGGTACAGTGGGATGTACACTCCACACTGGTACAGTGGGATGTACACTCCACACTGGTACAGTGGGATGTACACTCCACAATGACAGTGGGGTGTACACTCCACACTGGTACTGTGGAATGTACACTCCACAATGGTACAGTGGGATGTACACTCCACACTGGTATAGTGGGATGTACACTCCACACTGGTACAGTGGGATGTACACTCCACACTGGTACAGTGGGATGTACACTCCACACTGGTACAGTGGGATGTACACTCCACACTGGTACAGTGGGATGTACACTCCACACTGGTACAGTGGGATGTACACTCCACACTGGTATGGTGGGATGTACACTCCACACTGGTACAGTGGGATGTACACTCCACACTGGTACAGTGGGATGTACACTCCACACTGGTACAGTGGGATGTACACTCCACACTGGTATAGTGGGATGTACACTCCACACTGGTACAGTGGGATGTACACTCCACACTGGTACAATAGGGTGTATATGTCCTTGTTTACCTCTACAACCAACAGTATAATGATTAATTGCTAATTCTCTGCAACATTTTCTCCAAACCGAGAAAAATGCCTCTTGCATAACATATATGTCGAAATGCACGTTTAATATATATATATATATATATATATATATATATATATATATATATATATATATATATTATATATATATATATATATATATATATATATATATATATTACAACTAAAGTGTCAATAGTAGGACGTGCTGTGACACATCAGCGGCTGGGAGGAGCCATGCTGGGAAACACAGCCAGGTGGTATTAAAAAAAAAATAATTATCTGCCTCTAGGCGGCCTGTTCTTGGCCATTGCTCCTCAAGTTGGTGCGAAGCAAGAAAAGGTTCACGAAGTCAGCAACCCAGGAGGGTTATTAACCCGGGATGACCCGTGGAAGGTAAGACATATGTGCAAAAGTTAGGTATCTTTATTCCGAAACGTTTCGCCTACACAGTAGGCTTCTTCAGTCGTGTAGAGAAAAGTTGATAGAAGCAGTAGAGATGTGAAGAAGAAGTAATTAGTCCATCACCCTTGAAGATATAGTTTTGAGGTGATCAGTCCCTCAGCCGTGGAAAGACAAACTAAAATGGGTTCGTTCCATTAGGATGTTACTTCGGCAAGAGTTGTACAACAACTTCACGGGTGCGGGGGGGGTTGGAGGTGTGTTGACGCTTGATCACGTCTCTTTTGCTCCCGGGAATCAAGCCAGGATTATCTCGGACCCTCTTCCAGGGAGCACTTGTTTTTGTTGTAATTTTTGTTGTTGTTTTGTTCTTGATATTGTTGGTTTACTGTTGTTGTTATTGTTGTTGTTGATGTAATTGTTGTTTTGTTGGTTTTGTGTTGCTGCTGCTGTGGTTGTTGTTTCTGTTGTTGAGGTTGTATTTTTGTTGTTTTAGTTACTGTTGATTTTGTGTTGTTGTTATTGTGGTTGTTGTTTGTT